TATGCATATAAAGCCTGAAAAAAATGCCAGTTTACTTTTAAAGCTATATCTGCATATAAGTAGAAAATTGCAAATTTGGAAAAAAAATATAATGCAGGAGTGGCAAAAGCTTTATTATAAAAGCCAGTCTCAGTTTCTTGTATATTAGTACATATTTAGAAATATTTTTGCTATTTTAACTGTATCCAGTATTCTAAAAAAATTTATTTATGGGAAGATGAAGCCTGATCTGATAAAATTCCAAAGGCTGTCCTACTTTTTCCTCCTTGACTTGTACTTCAGTTCCTACTAGAATGCTGCATTTGAACACTTGCTCATCAACTGTGTTCAGTATCATTCACAACACTTCTAATGCTAGATTCTCTTTGACGTACCCTTCGTTTGAAGTTAGAAGGATTAATTAAATAATCAAATTTAAAACAACCTTTTTGAGCTGCGACTTGCACTTGGAGAGGTAAATTGTAACAATAAAATACTTAAATCCATTGTGTGACAATGATAATGATAATTTGTTTAGCACTTAGCAGTTACATAGTATGTTCAGTATACTGTGTGGATTATTTTATGTAATCTTCACAGATATCCCATCAGATAATCACTGTTATTCCCATATCTCAACTAAGAAAATGGCAACCTAGAAGGGTGAAATTACCTGCCATAGGAGATGACAGGTGAGGTGCAGAGCGTGGCCTCAAGCCCAGGTCTGTCTTCCTCACAAGTCATGCTTTTAGCTATGATGCTAATCGGCATTATCTGTTGAAGGGTTGTTAGCTGTGACCTGCTACAATGTGCACAATAGTTGGCAATAGTCAAGAGTTAAAAACAGACTTAAAATTGCTGCCATGTTAAAGTTCCTAGTCTGCAATTAATCGCTGTTCACCTACTCTATTGTTTCAGGAATTAGTGAATTGTATCAGATGGGAATTTTCCGAATACTTGCTGGAATCCTTCACTTAGGCAATGTTGGATTTACATCTCGAGATTCAGACAGCTGCACAATACCTGTAAGTTCAGAACAAGTTTAGTGTGATGAGCTTGTCTTTTAGTTTGTTGATTCTTTGTGGAAGCAATTTATTTGAAGTTTTTCTGTTAATGCTATCAGAGGGATATGCTATCCAAAGGAGAATCTTAAATAAAGAAATATGGTTTTTAGTACATGGTTTACAGTGATTGTGTGTGTGTGTGTGATATGTATAAACAGAAGTGGGAAATATTAGATGTAAAAGTTGGATTGGTCAATCTAGAAAGTACTTCATTTGGTATGTATCATTTGATGCCAGAAATTAATAACTTTATTTATCTGTTAAGCTATGAAAATGTAATATGTAATATTGAAGAAACCTAGCAGTGGTTACTCCTGTGAAGAGGAGCTACATGATTGAGGGGAGAGTAGGAAGTAGTTTAAAAAATGACATTCCTTTTAATCTTGTTGAATTTGGTGTATGTATGCATGTCTATTTTCAATCAAAATGCCTAAATACTATACATGTACTATAGGTAGTACAAAAGATTTTATATATATATATATAAATACTATAAGTATATAAATAAATTAAATGCATGCCTTTGATGTAAATGGCCTCATAAGATAAGAGACTTAATGGAAGTCAGAGCTATGAAGTATATATGCCCTTACTTAAATCCTTCACTGCCTTCAAAAATAAGCCAGCACCTTCCCTGGCATGACATGGAAGGTCCTTCATGATTAACCCTGGACTTTGTTTATTCAGTTTGTCTCTCATCAGTTTTTATACTCCATGCTTTAGCCATTTACATGGGTTCTGCCCCTCTCTCCTGCTTTTATTCAGATTCTCTTTGTGGGGTTACACTGATTGTTCATCTTCTCTGGCCAGCTGTTACTCACTTCTATCACACAGATGCATTGGCCTCTCCCTCTTTGTGTTCATTATAGTACAAATCATATTGTTCTGTAAAGATTTCTCTTTCTTTGATTTCCCCCACTAGGATTTGAAGTTCTTGAGGACAGAACCATACTATTTCTTTTAGTATTGTTAATACTTTAACTTGGATGGCTCTTACTCAGTTCATTCTTAGTTGCATTTTGCTGAGTCTATAGACTTTTATAAAAACAAATTTTCTACTCTTAAAAGGAAAAAATCTATACTCTGTTTTTTCTGGATGTAGTACTTTTGTGTATTACATTAGTTGCATTAGACATAATGTAAAATAAAAGACTGATTTGAAAAGAAACTATTAATAACTTAGTCAGCAGGTCAGTAGTTTTTTTGGGCAGAGTTTAGTTTACAGAAAGCTTTGATATTCCTGATTTCCTTTGTGGATATGGTTTAATTTTCCTAAGCCATGGATCTTACTTTTGATAAATATATATATATATATATTTTCCCCTTAGCCTTGCCTCCTAACAGTATATTTTTAGAAGGATGGAATGAAGAGTTTTGCTGAAATCCTGTTTTTTTCCTAAGAAAATGTTACTGACGAATTCTCCCATTACTTTGGAGAAGTATTTCCTCTAAAAAGATGTTATTCAAAAAAAATTTTTTTTATTGAAATGTAATTCATATCCATATAAAGTATACAACCCAGTGATTTTAAGAATATACCCAGGTAAGAGAAGGCATCACCCACAGTTTTAAAACATATTAACCACCCCTGTGAAATGTCTCTGGTTTATAGTTGTTTATTGTTTTTGCATTTCACTTTATTACAGTTACCCCTACACACACACCAATCCCTTACATGGTGTTTTTTTTTTTTTTTTTAAGCCGGGGTCTATTTATCTTCTGCAGTTATCTTTTATTTTTTTTTTGGCTATTATAAATAATGCTACCATGAACATTAATGTATTTTCTGTGTATCTATCTTTGCTTGTGTTACCTTTAACAACATCAGAATTTGTTGATCAGGAAAGTTTTCATCAATGTCTGCATGTCTTTCCTGAGATATGTGTGTTTTCCTCTTTGGAGATCTAGCTTGGAGAGAGTACTTATAATTTATTGTTCTTGTCCAGAAATTGATTCTAGTTTTTAAGCTTGTTAGAATTCCTTGATTTTGATTTTTCTTCTTCTTTTTTAAACCAGCATTTGTCAGTTTTGTTGATTTGACCATAACTATAAGTTCTACAGTTTCACTATTTGTGAGAATAAGTGAACTTCAAAGGTTACTGGTGAAACAGCACATCTTCTTGATAGTTCCATAGAACTCCAAGGTGGAAAGGAAGGGGCATATTTATCCCATGCATAGGTTTCTGTATTTAGTTTGTTCCTGCTGCCTTATTATTTTTCTGTCTTGCTTCCTGAAGGAGTGTAATAGGAAACACTCTTGACAGTTAATTTTAACTGTTTAGATACATAAGTTGGTATTAGAAAATCAGAATGATTTGTGTGACTAAAATTTGGGTAAATTAGATTTCAGTTTGAAATATATACTTTATTGTCTCTGCAATATGTGTGGTAATTAAGATGGTCCCAGGTTCAATCACAACTTTAGTATTTATTCATACTGGTTTTTTTTTTTCCCCCAAAGATTTATTCACCTGTGCATACAGAACTGGGGTACAGGCCAGAGGCTCGGGGGAGTGAGAGGCTTCACCAAAGACAGAGTGGGGAGCAGAACAGGCAGATCTACAAAGTACACTGCTGAGGGGAGCAGCGGGCGGGTCAGGAGAGGTCTGCCACGCCATGTGGTCACCTCCGGGGCAGGAGGCAGGCGGGAATCGAACTCATGCGGAAGTGGCTTCAGATTCTCAGTGCTGTGCTTTAACCCACTGCGCCACCAGGGAGGGCCTATTCATACTGGTTTTTAGATGAGTTGCTAGCTTCTTTGAACCTGATTTTATACATCTGTAATATGTAACAGGTTTTCTTTTCTAGGTCTTCTGATTGACCTTCATGTTGAATAAATATAATTAATAATATTTTAAACATAAATACATAAGAACTACTCAGAGACCAAACACTAAGTGAAAATAGGACCTAAGGGATGAAGCAGAACCTTAATGCTAAAATTTACCTCATGGGCATTTACTGACCCTAGTGACTTTGAGGTTGGTTTTCACAGCCACATTGGGTGCAGATGCTGAAAGAGAAAGCCTGAGTCTCACATACATACAGAAACAAACAGTGAAATACCTCTCTAAATGAGGAGCTAGTAATAAGTTTAACCTACAGCCATTCTTAGAGTACAAAGAAAAAGTTTATCTGTTTCAAGCTTTGGTGCTAAGTAGAGGAGAAAGAAATAATCCCTAAAAAATTTATAGCAATGAGCTGAATCATAGAGTCCCAGCCTGATTTCATAGTTTCTAGATGATCCTAGAAAGCTATATGAGGAAAATTTAGCTTAAGTTGGCCCTGGTTTTGTAGTGTCCTGTATGCCTGACAGAAACAAACACAACTTTAGTTTAGAGGCTCCAACTTCAACCCAGGCTTCAATAAAGTCCATGGGAAAATACTAAAGAAATATTGGATCATGGTGAAAAACCATAAATTCCACAATGAGTCAAAATAGAAGGAACAAAAAGCAGAATCAAATCTACCAATTATGCGCACAAGAATAAATAGCAAATGGGACATAACTAGAGAGAGAGCTGATGAGCTAGAAGATAGATGTGAAGAAATTATCCAAAGTGCAGAATAGAATCCAGAGATGGGGCACTTAAAACAATAATTGAGAGAGATAAAAGAGTGATAAAATCTATTTTAGTCGAATGGAAATTTCTAAAAGAGAGAAAAAATAATTTGGCATAAGGATATAATTACTAATTTCAAAATATGTAAAAATGACACTAAACCACAGATTTGAAAAGCCAAAAAAAAAAAAATCCCACTTAGAGTAAACTTAAAAATTGACCCATTGGCACACCATAATAATACCAAACACAGAAAATCTTTTTTGTTAGGCAGAGCTAATACATACTAGCCTTGAATAGGAATTGATAGCTCATTACCATCTGCAATAATGGGACCCAGAAGTTGGATTGG